TTTGTGCTCTACACAAATCTAGAAACCAAATTGGTGGAGGTGAAAATTTGGTCATTGGGTAATTAGATAATAATAAGTAATTAGATAATATTTATATCCTCAAAAGTGTATGTTAAGTTTCCCACGAAGTTTGTACCATTCAGAAGCAAATGTTCTCCATACTATAAAGTTCATATAATGCAACCAGTAGAGGATATAAAAATTATCATCCTGACGAGCTAGGTCGATTTAATCTTGTCCTTCGGTATATACCCGAACTATCTGCTCAGTTTTTTAGGTATCATCTGAAATTTTAAACACGTAATTCTCTCCTCATGAAATTGTTCATTTGATGGCACTGCATCGATCAAAATTACGACTTTACATGAAAAACATTTACAAAAAATTTTTCATAGGTTACTTATTACCCAAATTATCTTTACAATCTCCGATTAACTTGCTCATATCGCACTACTATAGAATGCAGCTACCATACAAACTGAGGGATCGAAATCAAAATATAGATTTTTTCTACACCCTTTTACTTTATAAAAATTCTACTGTGAAGTATATTATAGCCTCGGTGCTGCCCAATCAATATTTTTTCTTGTTTTGGCTTCTCTTACAAGCAGTAATCTCTCACACACAAACTTTAGGAGCAACTTTGAAAGGTGATAATTTGGATTCTGAAACAAATATATGGTTCAACAGTGTTAAAGTACGATTTAAAAAGATTTCTCAGAAACTATTTATAAGCTCGGTGGATGCTTTGTCCAATATTCTAAAATCCAATAAGGCTTCCTTATCTTCAACTTCGAAATTATCTCCAGTAACAGGTTCACGAGAGCTCATACCAAAAACTGATACTTCCCAGTTAAAAGTATTTCGCTTTGATATAGTGGATATAGCGCTATTAATTTATTCTGAGGGGTTTATCTTCTCTGTTAATCTGTCTGAAATATAGCATTCTTAATACAACTTCTTGTCTGCTGTCAGAAGTGGATTCGAAGTTGACAGAGGAACAACGTAAGTCAATAAATTTTTTTCTCAATGGAAAAGTTAAATAAATTTATTAGGAGCGCCATCAGCTAGATATTGCACCACTTCGATGGCGTATTCATACACAAACTTTTCGTCACCAAAAATGATGTATTTGATGAATGAGCTGTAGCAGTGGACGGCTACGTTGTCAATCATATCTTCAACGATCTCTAATCGGCATCTCTTTCGCAGAGGACTCCAGTCTTTTGATACGAGTCTGGCATTGAAACGGTTCATACACAAAATTTTAATAAAAATTCAATTGATTCATAAGAGATTTTGTGATCCTATAGTATTTCTCTGATGTGTACACGACGACTTTCAAGCACTCTCTCTTTAAATTTTTCGATGTTATCGTCATTAAGAGAGGTGCGACTCGCATGAGGCAAGCTTTCGTTGACTTCACGACCTTCACTGAATGCTCAAATACTTGTGTTCGCGTTTAGTTTACTTCTCCAAATACTTCTGCAACATTTTCAACGCTTCTGTAGACAAGATTTCATTGGAAAAGAAAATTTCAAGCAATCTCTTCGTCCAATATATTTTTCATGGTAAAAATCGCCAGACAAATCTTTCACGTCGTAAGTAAACAGTTGGCAAAAAACACAATCATTTACATATGAAGGTCAAACTACACATGAACATTAAGAAAGACTGTAGCAATCTAGGTTAAAAATATTGATCGATATGGGTCTGCCCGCACAGTTTAAATAGATCTGTTTGAATTAAATTATTTTAGTTCAGTCAGGACTCGTAGTTTTCTTATACTTAGCCTCAAAAACAAAAATTTTGAGCCGAGCTTCTGTAAAGTATATTTCATTTTCAGCTAGAGGTTAGGTCTTCTATCATTAAGAATTGGGTTAAGCTTTCAAACGATTCTTCATATATAGAAAAATAACTAAGATGTATTTCATAACAATCCTCCTCGCCAGCCCTAAATCACAATATCACCAAGTTTCCATCTCCAAGTAAACAACTAAGTGACGATGTTTCGTTTACGAAAGATATAGTATTTCCATGAGTATATATACGAACACTTTTGCTTTCAGTTACACAAATATTTTCAATAAACTAACGATGCTTTTATTACCTTTTAGTAATGGTTAATTAATATTCAACTAAGTGTGTTTCATAACAGAATAAAATTGTTTTACTATGTTATTATTGCAAATAATTAAATAAACAATTATTAAAAGTATACTAAATGGTTATAAAGGCCTTTAAGGTCTTATGATAGTAACCAATAAAACTAGAAATTGCGTATGTGTGTATGTATGTGCAGAAAAGCCAACTCACGCCTGACTCACGCCTGATTCTCGGCAGCTCGCAATACACTTCACTAGGCTCAAGGCCAATGCCACAGTCCTTGGGGGAAGTTTAAAAAAGCAGCACAATTTAAGTGTTGGTTATGCAATCGTCAGCGTAATAAAACACCGTAAATCATGCGCAACGGATGATTCGAAAAGTTCACAATGTCACTTGTTTTACGCTCTCAATAAATGACTGTTCCTAAAATTCCCAACCGCAGAGCATAGCATCGCCCAATTTTACAACATCTTTCGACATTTCAAGCAAACATACAAATACTTATGTAAATATGTAGACGAGTGCTAGCATTGTCGGCTATTAAAGTGCAAGTATGGTATATGATATTTACTCATGGTTTTTGTTGCCTTTTCTGTTCAATTAACACACTGCGGCGAGTGTAGCTACCCATACATACGTATGTATGTATATATCTGTGTACGTATGTGTCTGTACAAACATTTACCTGCGTATATACGTATGTACAGAAATCGAAGTGTGACATCCGCTCTCAGTTAAATAAATAAAGGCGAATATTCGAAAAGGAACACAGATTTATATAACAATAGCCTTCATTTTTGAGCTCACTGTGTAGCGCTAATAACATGCAACGGTATATATTTTATAATCCAAAGCATTGAAAGAATGATAAAACATCTGGAAGTCTAAAAAAACAGAAACTTATATGCTCTTCAACTGCAGTTGCAGACTTCCTGATCATTGCAGTCATGCCAGCGGCAGTGGTTGCCACTAGCGCAGCAATAGATATACTGCTCTAGTGACGGGAGAAAGGTTGTTTCGATTCCTTGTCTTTGACATCGAATTGCTACATGGTTAGATTAGTTGCGGTGCCTGGCCACAGCGGAATTGAAAGAAACGGCAAGCCTGATGAGCTTGCTAGGTCAGATACTTAAGTCTCACTAGTTGTAGAATGATAACGGGTAGGATCTACGCTGGCTTCTTGCGATGTGTGTGCCCTAGCGTTGTCCTGAATGAATGCGAAGCCCTTTCCGTTGATCAGTACTGGCCATTTTTTGCACTTGTTTGCTTCAATCTCATCAGTTGTTTTCAGTAAAGATCAGAATTAATCGTTTGACAAGGCTGGAGCAGCTCATAATAGATGATTCATATCCAATCCCACCAAACACTCAGCATAACCATTTCAGGCTTCAATTATAGCTTTGCGACCATTTTTTGAGCTTCACCACGTTTGGATCCTGATCCTTTTCGCACATTATTGTCGAGATATATCCACTTTTCGTCTCCTGTTCCTTCGGAAATTTTTCGATTTCATTTCGTTTCAGCAAATTCATTTCAAATTTAACACAGACAATTCATGTGGTACCCAAAGTTTCTTTTTGTAGCCAACTTTTTTAAATGGTTCAAAATCGTTTGATGGTGAATGTTAAGTTCCTTAGTGGTGTCATGGCTGTTTGTAAGGTCCCGGTCAAACTTTTCATTGATTTCATTGACTTTTTCAACGAGAGGTCGACCAGAGCGAGATGCATCTCTCAACATTGTTGTGCCACACTAACTGAAACAGCATCGTCTCCGTAAACTTCACAAATTTCATTGGAGGCTTGCGTGGCACTCTTTCCTTTTATATACAAAAATTTCAAAATATTGCGAATTTCTTCATTATTTTCATTCATTTTTGAAAAACTGTAACTTTCCTCGAATAGATTTCTTTTTGTTTAAATGAGCTTAAAATCTTATCTTTTTAACGCTGTATGGCATGACACAATGTGATTGGTAGCACTGATGATATACGACTGCAATGACATCTATTGACAAACTACGAAAAGTCTTTTTCGACTATCCAATATATTCAAATGTGGAATAAGTTTTTGGAATAATCTAAACTTCAAACTGTTTCTAGAAGGTGAAGTTATTTTAAAATATATTGTTTTTGGTTTTCATTAGCCATCTTCTGGGCTCTCTATGTTCGAGCTCTTCTGTCAGAGTAAAGGCATTGTTCTCCAGTTGAATTCCGGAATAGAACGTATCTTCTCATTAAAGAAGTTTAAACGGTTGCTTTCTATTGTTTGGTTCAATTAACAACATTCTTGCTCAGCTGCTGAGTATAAATAGGAAAGCAAACTTAACAACTCCTTGCTCTGAATATCTATTGGTTTACCGCAGCTACTTTGATTTCAAACAACTACTTGTTCGATTCGCTACTCTCCAAGCTTTGGCGCATCAAATACAGTTAAATTATTTGGCTGTTTAGGATTAAGCCTTACAATATGTACAGTATATGCTTCAACTTTATTAATTATATTAAAAGTTGTCTTATCCCTCCTTCATATCATATATATTCTATACCAAATATCAAATGTATATAATCAGTGCATATTGCTTATATCGACAGTATGGCGTTGTCAATAACTTCAAAAACTGTAAAAAAAAAAAGATTTTTGAACCAATATACTTGCAACTGCATATCGAATTACCGTTTGCCATGAGGTTGACACAAAACAGTAAAAGCCAGTCGAATAAATTTTATTTACTTTTTTTGTCCAGAAACTCTTGCACAACAACAACTGTTGAAGTACGAACTTGTAATGAAAATATTTTTTAATTTGCTTACCGACTTATTCCTTATTCAATTTATTTTTATTGATATTCATTATTTTATGTTAATTACACATTTTATTTTCTTCATTTATTTACAGATAGGCTAGCTGTGATAATTATTGGAATAGTTACATTAATTTTAGGTATATTGCTATCAACAATACCATGGTTGGATTATTTTATATTAAAGGTGAGTGGAAAAATCTTTGAATTAAAAATATATGATTCAGCTGCCAAATAATTTTCTTAAATTTACAAATTATTAAAACAGTATTATAAACTAGAAACATATAGTTTCAAAAGGGAAAGCCAGTATGAAGTAACTTTAACGAGTATACGTAGGGAGATCATATATGACTTGCTTTATATTAGGTTGTCAAAAAAGTCTTGTGGTATTTTTGCGGTATTTTTATAGAATTTTCAATTGTTCATAAAATTTTTTTTGATGACTCATGCCCAGCTCTTGACCGATACTACGGCTGCTACTATGTCGGTCTCTTTCGACAAATTCAGCGATTTTATCGCAGTTCTCGACGACAGGGCTTCCGGAGCGTGGCGCATCTTCGACCACCTCTACACCAGAACGGAAACATTGAAACCATCGTTGTGGGGTGGAAATGGAAACTGTATCGGGTCCATAAACTGCACAAATTTTATTGGCGGCTTGAGATGCATTTTTGCCTTTATCGTTTTGCCTTTTGCGTACTGTAAAATATGCCGTATTTTCTCTTTATTTTGCTCCATGTTTGCGACGCTATAACTCACGAACGACTTAAAAGAAACGATAATCAATCAAACACGTGTTAGCGCGTGAAATGAGCTTTCCAAACAGGTATAGCATGATCCGATGCGACGAATAAAACTAGAAGTACGCGCTCCCAGCGCCAACTAGCGAAAATATCGCAAGACTTTTTCGACAAACTACTATTATATGAGTCAACCATTCATTGCTACTATTAATAATAATCCCGAAAAGTTAAGAAGATGAGGTTTGAAATTCTAACAGTATTAGAGAGATGTTTTTTTTATGAATTAAAATATGTCATTTCAATCAGAGGACATACAGAATATGGCCCAAAAGACTTTCACAGGAATAATAAATTTCATTAATATCCCAAACGTTTTTGATATATTAAAAAAACTTTTATAGCGCTCTAAATAAAAATTAGTTCAAAATTACATAAAATAAAATAAGCCATGTTCATGCCTTAATAAATATTTCTGATGAATTTAAATAGTCTCCAGAAACGTATTAAACTTATCTAAATTTTAATATGGACGAACAAAATATCCCTTAATAAAATTCAATTTTGCAATACTTAACAATTTTATTTCTTATTTTCAGAATTTAAGGCTATGGAATGATACGTTAAGTTTTCATTACTGGCAACGACCAGGTGTCGTACGCTTAACTAAAGTTTATATATATAATGTCACAAATCCCGATGGTTTCCTGCAAGGAGAGAAGCCAAGATTGACGGAAGTGGGACCATTTGTATATAGGTGAGTAAAATTTCGACTGCACTTTGTTATTGATCTATTTCAAGTAGTTAATTAATTAAGGCACACTTTTGTACACAGTTTACATGAGAAAGCAACAACAAATTTGATTCAATGCAAGAGAGCCTGAAAATATCCTATTAAAGTGTTACAGCAGCTCACATATTTATAATAATTGTTTGTTCGATTGCCACTTTCCAAGCGTCCTTGGAAATGATAAAATGAATAGAGAATGAAATAAGAACTGAAATTTTTAAGTATAACCGATTGGGAGTGATTACTGACTTGAAAATATTTTGATAGATTATTAATCTCTACGAAAAAATATCCTTGAAATCTAATTTAATGCCAGTCATTGTAAAATATGACGAAGTTGGTCAAAGTGAAACTATTTTTGTACCGCCCGAATTATTTTTCTCAAACAGTCGAACAAATGGCAGGGTCATTATATTGAGAAAGATAAATAAAACAAGTCAAGAAGAGCTAAGATCGGGAGTAACCGAACAATTTATGCTCTGTCAATGATCAAAAACGGGTAAATACTTTGAGGTATCGGCAAAACTGATAAAGGATTACAGTCATGTTTGAAATTTTATTAACATATTTTATAAGTCGTAGACACACTAAGTCGTAATGTTTCTATAGAAATCAGTCTATCCTCAAATGATATATATATATATATATATAAGTAAGATAAATTCAAAGTGCCTAAACGTCTTACTTGTTGCTTAATTTGTTTACTGCAAATTGTATTATATTGGAAGAAGGTTTAGTTGTGATCCGATTTCGCCCGCTTTCATACCATTACACAAGGAATATTAGGTTAATATTAGGCACCGAATTTGGTTGAAATTAGCTGAGCAGGCACTGAACTTTAGGCTCTTATTTAAAAGTTGATGGTGCCACGCCCATTTTTCAATTTTGATACCTATTTATGCTCTTTTGCAATATGTTGCGAGGCCAATTTTAGAATGAAGTTTGATAGAAATAGAAATGAAAATAATTTTTAAAGGGCCATAACTCAAAAAAAATTTCAAATATTTATCTAAAATATTGAACTATTATTATTATTTTTTTACTATCAAAATATCTAGAAATAAAAATAAAAATATTTTTTCGAAATTCAATAATCTTGCTTTATCTTCTATCCCTTACTTTTAACTCAGTATACCAATAGAAGTTACTAGAACGAAGCATTGTAGAAGACTCTATACATTCTTCTACATATGTATATGTAGAGTCGTGTTCATTAAATATGTTTATGTTTTGGAATTAGATTATACAATAACAAAAAAAACTTCATGGTGTTAAATTAATATTCGGTACTTTTTGCTATTTGCGTCAAAAAAGTATGACTTTAGTCGCACTTTCGACACATGTGTGTCTAATTGTTAGGCCGGTCTCTATTTGGAGCAATTCTCTTCACCTATGTCCCGGAAATTTTCTAGTTGAAGTCACTGAACTAGTAATTTCATACTTATATGACTGGCTATATACGGCCAAAAAAAGTACTCAAAATCGCGTTAGGCCGTATAATGCTTTCTATACTAAATGTTGTTGCAATTTGGGAGCCATATTAAACTGCACTTATAACCAACGTGTATTAAGCAAATATTTCTGTCTAAAAAGCGCTCTTATGGAAAGTGTACTGTGTACTGTCAAGAAAAACTCACATAGGTTTATGGGTATGTATGTATGTGTGTAAGTAAAGCTGATGTTGAAGTGTTTTGCACAACTTTGGCAAATGAAATGCTCAACTTGCGTTATTGAAAGTGATAAAAGCGCTGAAAGCACGAAACGCCTAATAAGCAGCAACAAAATATAGGTCAATTAAAATTACAGTGTATTGGCAATAATTGCAATATTTAAGTAAAAATGTGCGTATGCAGTTTGCAGCTGTTGTTGTTGTTGCGCATTTCAAGAGAAGTGTATGAAGTTGCTGAAAGTTGCACATGCTGCAACGGCGGCTTTTCGCCAACGCCAGCGAAAATATATTTTGCAAATAAAGTTTTGCATTCATTACTACCACATTAACACATACATTAGGGTGTTTTAGAACGACTGTTTTATTTTTTTTTTTTTTTAACAATTTCTTTTTAAATGTTTCTATCTGAATGGAAAACACGGAAAAATGCAAACTTCGGTTCTTCGGAAATTATAGCGTTGACTTGGATTATTATTGAAATAATGTGAAAATATCCTGATAGATAATTTTTCATAAAATACTTTAATTTTGATACGGCAGTTTGTACGACAGTTTTTTGCTATAATAGTCCGATTTCGGCGGTTTCGACAAATGAGCAGCTCCGAGGGGAGAATAGAATGTGTGGACATTTTTAAAGCGATATCTAAAAAACTGAAGGTCTGTTGACAGCCGAAATTGATTAAATGAGCTCGTCTCGGTGATCATTTGTATACATACATATATACTTTATAGGGTCACCATGATTTCCTTCTAAGTGTTGCAAGCTTCGTGGCATCATTTCTCGAGAACTACTCAACCGACTTTCATGAAATTTTACACAGAGAGAAACAATTTATAAGACTTGGATGAAGGGTTTTTTCGATTACAACTATTTGAAAAAAAGAAAATGTTGGAAAATTTTCACTGATATTCTGATTTTTTTGTAAAAGTGTCCGCCAAAAATTCAATTTTCGATTTTTTCTTTCGTCCAAGTTCTAAATGAAGGTTTTAACTAGAATGATCATGTAAAGGTTTATCCTTGCCAACGCGGCGTATCTTTTTTACGAGAGATCGCCGAAAATGGCGTCGCAATGGCCGAGTTTAAAATTTTTTTTTCCAAAAATTTCAGAATTTCTTACGTAATGATGTATGTGTGTAACAATAAAAAATTCAAAATTTTTATTGTTTTTCTAAGAAAAAACTTACAAAAAAAGGCTGGGTTTTACCCGAGGAAAGCCATGTGATCCCTTAATGTACCCTGTTCAAGGTATAAGAAAAAATTGCATATTCTAAAATTTGAATTAAATCTGTATATGAGTCTGAAAGTGTTAAATTATGCAAAAATAGGACACCAATATTTTTACTCATTTATTTAAAAAACAAAAAAATTAGAACACTTTCTTTTGTTTAGTGCACATTCAATATTATTTCTAGAACACACGTTTGTCTAAATGTAATATGTACGAGGTGTGTTCAAAAAGTATCGCGAATTTTGAGTTTTCGCGGGTTCGATTTTCTTCGGGCATTGTGTTGGTACTCATGTCTCTCACTTATGCCGACAAGGATCGTCTTCGATGTTTACCTATTCAAAAAAATTTATCAAAGAACCTGTATCAAATTTTGTGTGAAAACCGAAATTAAATGCGCGGATGCATTCCGAATGTTGACTGTGGCATACGGAGAAGCTACCTTGGACCGAAGCAACGTTTGTCGGTGGTACGAAATGTTCTTAGAAGGCCGAGAGGATGTGACAAAAATTGGCTTTTGCACCACGATAACGCCCCTGCTCACACATCGTTGCATGTGCGCGACTTTTTGGCCAAAAACAACACAGTAATGGTGCCGCAGCCACCGTATTCTCCAGATCTGGCCCCCTGTGACTTTTTCTTGTTCCCTAAACTGAAGAGGCCCATGAAAGGACAACATTACGCTCTCTTGAAATAAAGACGGCGTCTAAGGAGGAGTTGAAGAAGATAAAAAAAAAATGATTTTTTGAAGTGCTTCGAAGATTGGAAAAACCGTTGGCACAAGTGTATAATATCTCATGGGGATTACTTTGAAGGGGACAAAATAGACATTCATGAATTTAATAAATAATTTTTGAAAAAACACAAAATTCTCGATACTTTTTGAACACACCTCGTAAGCGCACACAAATTTAGTTCCGAATTGAATTTCCCGCACAATCACTATCTCAATCTACATTAGCTTAGCTCACCAATCACTCAAATCAATTTTGAATTACAACCCAATTTTCCAGCTACAAGTCAAAGTCATTTGGACTAGTAAAAACTTGTTAACAGCTGATTAAAAACTCATAAATCTTAAGGTTATTAATATTAATTATACCAAAGGCGATGCGTACATAATTGTTTGCTTAAATTTTTAAATACCGTGAAAGCGCATTAAGCTATAAATAAATGAAAAATTGTAAAATGAGCGGTAAAATCAATAATTCGTTGAAACCATTTTTTATCAATTTACGATTTAATAGTAGAATAGTAGCACAATTTTTGGTAAATAATTGGCATAAATGAAAAATCGTGGCTAAAATTTATACTATAATTAAGTAATTAAACAATTGATGAAACTGAAAAGATGGCTAATGGTTCTCTAATAAATATTTTTAAAGGGCTGCATTGAAAGAAACAGCTGCGAGTAAGTAGTGCCCTAAAGGTGCTGGTTTATAATTTGTAGGATGGAAGAGCACCAGTTAACGTTCATAAGAATTTTAATCAAAGGTTTGCTACTTCTTCTTCTTCTTGATTGGCGTAGTCACCGCTTACGCAATTATAGCCGAGTTAACAACAGCGCGCCAGTCGTTTCTTCTTTTCGCTACGTGGCGCCAATTAGATATTCCAAGTGAAGCCAGGTCCTTCTCCACTT